TCAGCTGGGGGATTGTCAAAATTATGGTCCCTTTTTGGGTACCCTAAATATTAGGGGCCGTATTATATATAGGGATCCAAAAAGGGACCATAATTTTGACAATCCCCCAGATATGGTCTAAACTCCTAGCATCCTATGACCTCCGTTAAGGAGTCAAGACTATGGCTCATATCACGTTGAGGTCTATCTGAAGTACCCTATCCCATAATCAGACCGAGAAGTCTAATATCTTACTATGAGTTAGTTTAGGGTTTGGAGTTTTCAACATGTGGGGCGCCCCCCCCCCCCCCATGCTTTCCAAACAAACGAAGGCAATCCCTACAAAAAGAACCCCCAAAACGATCCAGGAGCTTCTCAAAATAATCCCTATAGTTGCAATCTCAGCAAGGACTTCCACGATCCTCCTATAATCTTAGCCCACATTCCCCTAGGAAGAAAAAAGGATACTTTTTCCTAAATATAAGGGATCCCATACCCCAAAAAGTAAAAAGGATCCCTAACATTGATCCAGTAATCCCTACAGTACATTCCCAGGGTGCCTAGTTGGACATGTCTTTTGGGAAACGCCATTTGAGCGGCTGTAGGAGGTGACGATTGAAGGTTTCGGGTTCCAGCAGCACGTCCAACTGCTACTTGGAGGTTCATGGTACTTCGTAACCCAGTATATCTGGATCCTTTTAGAGGGACTATAGGGAGATATAGGGTTCAGGGTGTAGGGTTTACGGGACTTAGTTGCCACAGTCACTAGTTATAAATGGGCATTAGCCCTACGTTGAACTGGGAGAAGCCCTATAAAGCCCTCAGGAGGGTCTGCTAGACTCCCGGTTCGTGTCATTACTAAGTCCCATGAGCCCTAAACCCTAAACCCCGTATGTCCCTATAACCCGTCGAAAGGGGCCCAGTTATATGTAGTCACAAGCTCTAAGCCCGAATAGACCCTGAAACCCGTGCTACTTCTCCAACGACTGAGGTCCAGACCTCTACCTGGGCTCAAGAGTAAGGGTTTAGAGGTCTAGGGTTCAGGGTTCAGGGTTCGAAACTTTGGGGTCTAGGGTTTCAGATTTAGGGCCTGCGCTTTGGCGAGGAGCTTCCGAATCCCCGCCCATTTAGGTTTGAGATATGGGTTTCGGTTCCAAGTTTCTAAGCCCGGCATGAAGCAGTACTCGGTTTTCAGGGAGCCGTAAAAAGTACCTGTAGAGCCAGTACCCCCTGATTATAGTCTACTTTCCCATCGTGTTCTACCACTTTGGCTTAAAGCACTTCATTGTGTTGATAACCAGGCTTTCTCGGTGTAAGCCGCAAGCCCTATAGGCCAAATATGCCTGACTCTCCGAATGGCACGCCGACAATCCTTAAAAGGGGTGCTGTCAGCGCATGGATGCAGAACTCGAATGATACTTCATACTGGCTTCAAGATGATGTTTACGGTTTAGGGCTTAGGTTTTAGGGCTTTGGGCTTAGGGTTTAAGATTTAGGGCGATTAAGGGGCTTATGTGATCCCCTACATAACCCCTAAACCCTAAACCCCTAAACCCTAAACCCCTAAACCCCTACACCCTAAGCCCTAAACCCCTAAACCCCTAGAACCCTAAACCACTAAACCCTAAACCCCCCTATAAAACCCCCCTTCCAGGAGCTTAGACATTTAGGGGTTTAGGGTTTAGTGGTTTAGGGTTTAGGGTTTAAGGGGTCCCCAATAGGGTTTAGGGTTTAGGGCCTGGTAGTTTTCCACATAGGGGGGCCCCAATATAGGCCCTAATATACTATGATCCCTATTTTATGAAGGCCCCTAGAATGATACCCCTACTCATGGGAAACCCCAATTTCCCTACAAAGTACTGGACACGGATTCCTTGTTGAGAAAGAGTTCAGGGTAAGCCCACCTAACAAGAAAAGAGCCAGTATGTCCACTGTTCAGGGTCCTTTGATAAAGGTAATATTGACAGTAGCTCTCCTGGTGCTTAGACCGGAATGAGGGATCAGATCTCTGTAGTAGTCCCCAGATCATCCCTAGCCGTGGCATGTAACCATTTCTTTAGGCTTTAATAAACGCTAAACCCTAAATAAAGATGTAGGACTTAGGGTGCAGTCCCTACTTAACACCAGGGAGTTCAACGGTCACCAAAGTCCGGAGCCCAAAAATACGCTGAGATCATGAATCTGAACTCTGGCTAGGCGCCGTCGTCTGCGGAATGGCGCCTGACAACCACGGCAAGTAAGCAGCTTAAAGGTTTCAAGTCCAGGGTTTGGAGCTTTCGAGTCTAGGGGTTGGGGTTCAGGGGTTCAGGGATTCAGGGGTTAAGGGTCAGGGGTTTAGGGTTTAGGGTTGGCTGTCAGGATCTGGGAGATTTGGAATTTCAGGTTTGAGGTCTAAGCATTGAGGGCCCTGCATCTGGTGGGCTTGGAGGCCAAGGGAAACAGTCTACTGCGTGCATTTCTGCACGTCCACACGCGTTTCCCAAGACAACTGCAGCGCGATATAGCAGTTTCCATGTCGTTTTCTTTTCCATTTGATTCTCAATCATTCCTATTCTATACCCCCTGTTTACACTATTACCAGCTATAAACATAGGAGCGATAGTCTAAACTCCTAATATCCGCTTAATAACTCCTATAACACTCCCTTACATAATCCCCTATATAACCCCCCTTCAGGAGCTTAGACTATAGCCATATAGTAGGATCATCCTCACTTCCGTCCCCATTAGGGTCCCTTCAGGATACCCTCGAGGCCACACCAAGAGGATGCCTCCTCAAAGGGAGCCCTGCCTTGGAAAATATGGGGTTATACGGGTTATATAATTAAGGCTACATAGAGTTGACAAGGGTTGTTTAAGGATATACGGGCTTTAGGGATTAGGGTTTCCCGGATCCATGTTGGGGTCCCCTTATTTTGAGAAACTACCAAATAGTAGGTTCCACATACCGGGGGACGCCAACATTGTAACATAAGATGCCTTGCAGGGAAGTGGGGCAACCTCACGGGTGAGGAACCTCACCGAGGCACCAGGGGAACTGAGTAAGTAGGTTAGTAAAGGGGATACCTTTTGGCTAATAGGGGTTCCAACCATGTTTTCTGATTCTCTTCCTGGAACATTACTACTATTTGCTTAAGAACCAACCAAGAATATTCTTCCTTGTAAGGGCAACATAAGGATTATTATCTTTAATTCTTAAGGGTTCTTAAGCAAATAGTAGATTAAGTTCATGAAGAAGTCGCTGGTGCTGCATCAGCCTCCCCTTCCGAAGACAGCAACTCATCCAGGCCAGCCGCTGCTTCCAAGCCTTTCTTGCAAGATCCTGGTTCCAAACAGCAGCTGAGGAAGTCAGAAGTGCAAGACACCAAATCCAAAATTAGGGGTACCTTTTGGGGGTCCCTATAATAAGGACTATAGTATTTTGGGGTCTCTATTCGGGTGCTGATCAACACGCCCATCCCAACATTGAAGCGCGTCGCAGTCTGCTTGTGCATCACGGTCCTCCTACTTAAACGACTGGCCAAACGCAGCTTTCCAATCATGCATGGCGCCAGCTTTGGGAAAGAAGCAAACGCAGATTCCCAGTCCCCAGTACTTGTAACGTAAAGGGTATGTGGTCGGTAGTTTCCCAAAACAAGGGGACCCCAATATAGACCCCAAAGTACTATAAACCTCATTCTAGGGACCCCGAAGAGGTATCCCTAATTTTAGGAAAGCCCAAACCCTAAACCCTGAATAGTAGCTTCCATTTTCTTTTCCGCTATTCCTATATAACCCCTACCCCCTATAAACCCCCATGTAAGGATTTTGTAGGCCCTACACCCCTAAACCCTACATCCTAACTCCCCTCCTGTACTCGCCTTGGAACGTAGCTCGCGAGGCCGCTACTCAAAGCTTAGGGTGTTGGGGTTTAGGGATTAGGGTTTAGGGACTAGGGTTTAGGGATTACGGTTTGGGGTTTAGGGATTAGGGTTTAGGGCTTAGGGTTTAGGGATTAGGGTTTAGGGATTTAGGGTTTTTAGGGACTAGGGCTGAGGGATTACCTAGACCCCCAAGTACCCGCTCTAGATTCTAGGTATCCTGTTTTAGGGTACTTTGGGGGTTTTGGTAGGGTTTAGGGTTTAGGTTCAGGGATTAGAGTTTAGAGTTTAGGGATTAGGGGTTAGGGTCTAGGGATTAGGGTTTAGGGTTTGGGGATTACTTAGACCCCCCTTAGGGGTTTGAGCGGTTTAAGGTTTAGGGTTTAGGGTACCCTCTATAGACCCTAAGTATCCACAAACAGGACCTACATAGACCCTATTTTGGGTACTTGGGGGGTCTAGGTAGGGTTTAGGGTTTAGGGTTTAAGGTTTAAGGATTAGGGTTTAGGGATTAGAGTTTAGGGGTTAGGCTTTGGGGTTTAGGGTCCCCTCCAAGATTAGGATCCCCCAACATTGTACCCTGGAATAAAGGGTTTAGGGTTTAGGGTTAATTAGAAGAGTCTCAACCACTTCCCTTTCCCCTTTGAGATTAGACACCGCCCCCCAACCCCCCAGGCCCCGAATCTCCTAAACATCGTATGCATCCCACAACATGTACACTCTCTTATTACCATGAGATTGATAGTAGTAGTAATAGTCTTGATACGTACATTGCCTATCTAGTAGTTGTGAGCGGGAGTGTTCATCCGTAGAGGGGGGGGGAAGGCAAGGATGTAGTAGATTACCTCAGCCCAGAAGCACTTGGCTATGTGCCAAATGTTCAATCTTCTTCAGAATTCTTGGTTCACATATTTAGGACCATGATAGAATAAGGACCCAATGAAATTCCTGCCCTTTTTGATTCCTGGACCCAGCTGACCTACTAGACCAAGGACCTGGAGCAACCCTAGCGCTGATCCAAAATTGGGGGCCCTGAACAGGGGGTCCATACTGCTCATGCTACACATCGTGCATGACCTTAGCATTACCGTACTTTCCAAGGTATACGGTACCGATGTGTCATGAAGGATAGAAGCCTGTATCCTCAAGTTCTTGGGGCCGCGCTCTTGTAGTCCAGCATGCACACACCAGACTCGAACATGGGCCTGATGGGACAGGAGCAGTTGACAGCAGCTGGTTTCCGATATGGTGTGCCCCATGGTGTAAGGTTTAGGGCAGATACAGCCCAAAAAACCCTAAACCCTAAACCTACAATAGTTCTTACAAAGCGCCGTCAGCCGGGGAGTTCCATGAAGTCGCGGTCCCCATTTTGAAGCGACTTCTAAAGATTACTATTACTACTGCTGCTACTGCTGCTGCTACTACTACTACTACTACTACTACTACTGTCAGGGTTTAGGGTTTAGGGCTTAGGGGCTTAGGGGTTCAGGGTTTAGGGGCTACAGCTACTACTATTACCAGATGTTGACGTTGTTTCTGTTGCGATCTCCATTACGATTGCTACTGGATCTTATGTACAAATATTGTGCTAGGCAGGAACATGTATCCAAAAGTCTGGAGAAGTTATGGTGGGGGATAATGCTATTTGCCGTGTTTCTTGTTCGCATTGGGCTGCGTGGAGGGATTTATACGAGAAATCTGCTCCAGGGATATCCTTAGCTGGCTTACTCAACTCCTTTTCGACCAGCTTTTATACAAGGAACTCAACAAGTTCAGTGCTTCGTTCACGAATTGGCGTATTTGATAGCGAACTTAATGACTATTGCTCACGGACTGTTGATGTAATCAAAGAGTGGATACCTGCCTGCCTAGCTTCTTAGCTACGTGGACACTGGATTAAAGCACCTGCGTAAGAGTGTCAAAGAGGGTGCGGGTCACAGGGGGGATGACCATGAAGAATCAATTCCAAGGTCTTGAATATATCAACATATGCAAGTATGTCAACAAGAAGGGTTCAAATCTGAAAGCACTCCGCACCACTCAATGCTCAAGCCTCATGGCTAAACCCTTACCTAAGCTAACTCGAAACAAACTCCAAACCGCAAACTCCACAACATAAAGCCTGAATCTCTCTTCCTTCCGTCCGAAACCTCCAGACCCACCCCAAAACCCACACTCTAAACCAAAAACCTTGAAGCCTAACTCTCAGTTGACCCTTCCGTGTCGAACCTCCACATGCAGGCGCTGTCTCCCATGCAGCCCGAAGCATCCTCCACCTGAGGTGCTTGGAGATTAGGATCAGGGACACCAATTCGGAGTCCTGTCGAAAGGGTGTCTACGAGTTAAGTGCTTGTTTAAGAACTTCAGGTTTGAGGAAATGGGTCGGGGGTCTAGGCTCCAGGGTTAGGGCTCATAGAGGGTCGTTGATTTTCAATTTGGGTGTAGGGTGTATCGTGCAGAGTTTAGGGTTCGGGTGCAATGCTCAAGGTCTAGGACTTCAGGGTTGGGGTTCAGGCGTTGGGATATTTTGGGCCTCAGGCATGTAGCGTTCTTGCAAGTATCTGTTGCTGGAACCCCACAAAACACATGACGTGCCATCAATGCCTCTAAGGGGTGGGTTATATGAGCTATAGTCTAAACTCCCAGTATCCCCCTTTAGTAGTCCCATATACGATATCCAATATAGCCCCTTTAAGGAGTTTAGACCCTAAACCCTATGGATCCTACCGTCCAGGATTTAAGGATTGGGGCAAGAGCTCCGGGCGTCTCAAAATCGCCCTCCCAAAAAACTATTTAGGGTTAAAGGTTTGGGTTTAGGGTGTAAGGTCAGGGTTTCAGAGTTTAGGGTTTAAGGTTTGGGTTTAGGGTTTAAGGTTTGGGTTTAGGGTTTAGGGTTTGAGGTTTAGGGTTTAGGAAATCATTGTACCTATCATAGTATACCTATCCTACCTGCAGTCAACCAAGCCACGTAGTTCACAGCGCACTCGGAGATGTTGTCGAGGGTCTCGAGGTACTCCTGTCGGCGTGGTATCTTTGTAGTCCTTGCTGGTGAATTTCCAGGTATATAGACCCCAAGGGGTTCAAGGGAATCTCCGAAGCAAGTACGGGCCTAACTAATTCGAATAGGGTTGCTGGATGTACTATATCATGTAAAGGCTTGTACAGGTGACAAAAGTGCAATCTTCGACAGAAGGAGAATCTTCCTACGGGGATGCTAACACTCCTGCATGACCCTGAGTGCCTTTTGCCTTGGGCATTGTGGTACTATAGTAAGTTATGGTATAAACTTATAAACCCTACATAATGGCAATTTCCATCTCTTTTCCCGTTTTTCCCCATAGACTTTATGCAGCCGCATTGTGATGTTCGTTGAGACGCATTTGATTACCCTGAACCCAAAACCCTGAACCTTACTAACCCTAAACTAATTATTGGGGGTATGGTATCAATGATGGTTTCTTTGCTTCTATACTACTACCGGTGCGGCGGAGACCCGGACTCAGAGGGGACGACTGTAGACACTGGGGTTTAGGGTTTAGGGTTTAAGGGTTTAACTAGGGGGTCAGGCTCAGGGTTTAAGATTTAGGGGTTAGGTTTAGGTTTTTAGGGCTAAGGGGAAAAAAGCTCTATCGCCTGTACTCGACTCTGTCTACTGCAAGGGGCCGGTAGACGCACGCCACACGTTCTCCCCCTTCTTCCTGGCGTATAGTCCTTCCTCGTCCACCCAAAAGGGATATCATGGAGAATAAGTTTGGGCCGCGTGAGGCTTCGGCTGTGAAGGATGTAGAAGATGCAGAAGTGGACGAAGTCATCGTAGCTACGTCGAAGCTGTGCAACAAGTGTATATCTTAGGTGGACCCGGGATTAGGGCTTAGGGTTCAGGGATTAGGGTTTACGGTTTGGGGTCTAGGGTGTAGGGATTAGGGTCTAGGATTTAGGGTTTGGGGTGGTGATATTGGAGCAGCAGCTTAACTACACCAACGGGCATGTCCAACCCTGGGGTGAAGGGAGGAAATATTTCACCACCCCCAACAACGGGAATTACAGCACTTTAGGTCACTTAGTGGTCTAGGGCGTAGGTTTTATAGGCCATTCACAATATTTTCAGCTGTCCGAGAATGTCTTAGTAGCAGAGAATGACAGGCGCCGAAACTCTAACCCTTGGGACTTAGCTTGGACCTTAGACCCTTAACCCTTTGGGATTCCCTCATACTCCTATTATAGGTACCTAAGGGTTAACCCTTAGTAGGGGTCCCCAAATCCAACCCCTTGAGCCCTTAGCTCGCTCCTAGGAATGGAGGATGGGTTGGAGCTATGGGGACTGTTCTACGTGGCACTTAGGACCCCTACTAAGGGTTAACCCTTAGGTACCTATAATAGGAGTATGAGGGAATCCCAAAGCGTTAAGGGTCTAAGGTCCAAGCTAAGTCCCAAGGAGCGTTATGCCGGGAATGCTAGAGGGATCCATTCGCTCATCCCTACTAAGCACTAGGAAGGTAGACTCGCAAAAAAAAACCTGCCTGCAACAGCACGGACAGAAGCACTACCAATGTCCTTCGCAAGCAGTAAGGAACCCAATACAAAAAAGCCCAAACCCCTAAACCCTAAATACCCCAAACCCCTTAACACCCAAACCGTCCTTCACGCCGTAGAGCACAGTGTCGCACGTGCGCGACTCCACGGGGGCCGGCTGCCACAAGCTGGTCCAGGCTCTCCAGCCGTAGCGGGTCTGCGGGTGAGGTCTTCTAAGTCTATGTGGGGGGGTTTCCGAAGTTTAGGGGTACCATTTTGGGGGTCCCCAAAATAAGGATTGCAATATTTTGCGGCCCATATTGGGGTCCCTCTATTTATAGAAACTACCATGTTGCTTTGTTCATGGGTTCTAGGGTTTACGGTTCTGAGGTTTAGGGGTCTGGGGGTTACGGCTCAAGCGCTTTAGGCTTCTATGGCTGAATATTAAGTGAGTAGTGTTTTTTGGCTGTTAAACCCAGTAAGATTATATTCCTTGTGTAAAACACTATACCCAAAAGGAGGATCTAATCTTACTCTATATTGGGTACCATAGTATCCCCAAATAAAATACTGGACAGGTGCCGTATAATATGTAACGCGAAGGGGTCCATAATTTAGAGAACAACCCATAAACCCTCACGCGGTGTAGGGTTTAGGGTTTAGGGTTTAGGTGTTAGGGTCACCAATACACTCACCAAAGCCAAATCAAACACCTTGTCTCCGATACGCAAGCAAATTGGGGGAAACAGCTGCATGCAGCAGCCTTCTGAGAGTCCTGCATGAACCTCACTACACTTACCCTAAACCCTAAACCCTAAACCCTAAACCGTGGGTACGGGAACTATTGAAGGGCTGGAGGTAGGACCCAATAGTCGCACCCAAGATTGATGGCAATATATATATAAACCGTATATGCCGTCGATATGAGCTGCAGTCTAAATTCCTTAAAAAGAGTTGAATAGAGGATGGTAAGGGGGAGCCTTTTAGGGGTTACTGTGGGTGGGAGTACTAGGAGTTGAGACTATAGCTCATATGGGTACAATTCTCGGTTGTAAAAATCGTGTTGCCAGTGGGTCAAAGCTACCCTGGGCCTCCATGACCATTGCCATAGGCTCTGTAGCAGCCTAAACTAAGCCCTGAAACCCTAACCCCTAAACCCATATACCCAAACCCCCCCCCTAGGCCCTAAATCGTGCAGGGCCCATGTCTGGCCTTGTCCTTAGGGATGAACTCATCCGTGATGTTGGAAGTGGGGGAGCTGATCTTCCAGGCGATGTAGTCGTCCTAGGGCGCCCAGACCCCTCCAACAATTTTACACGGGTTTGGGTTTCATGGTGTAAGGTTTAGGGGTATAGGGTTCAGGGCTACATGAGACAATTCGATTCCTGATCGAAGCCCATCATTTGATATTACTACGATTTGGGGTTGAGGATTACCCTATAGAATCCCATAATGACTGCCCATGGGATCCCTATATCATCTCATCAGAACCCCCCGCAATAAACACGGGCTGGTCCTAAACACTAAACCCTAAACCCATTCGGGCTTAGGGCCTATGACCGCTAAGAAGATCACGTAATGGACCCTATAGAAATAGATCTGCCCACGCCCTGGAGTCTAGGGTTTACGGGTTTAAGGTTCAGGGGTTTAGGGAATTTGTTTTAGGATTTAGTGTTTTCGGGATTGTAGAACTGCAGTACTGGTAAGTATGCAAGCCCGTATGATGGTACGCCACGGGCCTTCCGCCTATGCTAAGAGGGATGAAGGCCCCTGTGCTTCCGTAGATCCTGTCATCCTGAACCCTGAACTCTGAGCCCTAAACCCTAAATCCTGAACCCTAACCCTACAACGCTAAACCCTAAACTCTAAATCCAAAAAATGCCCTGAATCCTAAACCCTAAGTTGCTGTGAGTCCCAAACTCTAAATCCTGAACCCTGAACCCGAAATCTCGACCCTTACATACTCAGACCCCCAAAAGGATCTAAAAATTAGATCCCCTGGAACCATAAGGGGAATTATATAAGGATGATATGGGGTTATAATGGGTCTATATAGGGGATCTAATTTTTAGATCCTCCCAGGGGTTTGGGTAACCCTTAACCCATCTGAACCCTCAACCACGCACCATCGTGCATCCAGGCTTCCCCAGTTGGGCCGAAGGTAAGAGAGCAGTCGCCTGGAGAAGCTACCAGCAGGGCTGTACTTTGGATTTAGGGCTTGGGTTTAGAGTGCGTACTGTAGTTGATTAAGGCATCTTGGGATCCTGCATCAGACTCGGCCTAGGTCACCTAGAAAATTACGCTTCCTGGTCAAAAGCCGCCGAGTCACTCCATTGCTTGCCGCTGGTGGCAGTGTCCCAAGCCTTGCAGAACTCGACGGCATCCGCCTCGTTCCGTGCATGTAACAATTTCTTGCTGGTTAGCAGGGAATGGAGGAATGGATCCCCTGCGGCAGTCCGTTTAAGATCCCTTTCTATAGTCCGCATGACCCATGTTCCTTAAGGGGGGATCCGCAATCTGGACCAATACGGGCAAAGTTTCATATATGTTTGTCAAACACATGGAGTGGCGCCGCCCATCTCTAAACCCCAAACCCTCAAACCTTACCCCTAACCCTAAACCCCCAAACCCTACATGCGCTCTAAGGCTCTCAGGTCAGTGATCTTGCGTTCGCGGTGTGGTGGTTGGGGCTTTTAGGGTTTTGGGGGTCTAAGGTTCCCTCAATCCCTAAACCCTAAACCACCCAAACCCTAAACCCTAATCCCTAGACTTAGACCCTAAACCCTGAACCCTAAAACCTAAACCCTACTCGCCAAACCGTGCATCCCTCATTCCGAAACCATAAACCCCTAAACTCTAAACCCTAAACCCTAATCCCCAGATCCTAAATCCCTAAACCCTGGGGTTTGGGGCTGGGCAGGGCTAGAAGCCCCAAGGCTCCCCGGACCCCCGGTTTTTTGACTTAGGCTTCAAGGTTGCCGGGGCCTGGAATCACCTCAATTGGTTTACTTAGGGTTTAGGAACCATTCCCCTAATATATACTGACATATTTAGGAAGCGGTTGTATTGGGAACATTGATCATTGGGAGGGTGCCTTCTTTGAAGGGGAGGTGATAAACTTCAAGAAGCAAACATGGATACTCTTGATTCATGGGTTCAACTAGTACCCCCCTCTATACTACCCCCCCTAAGTTCCCCCCTGAATTAACCTTAATTAGGCTTAACTATCCCTAAATAATGGTAGTCCTGCACCACCCTCGGACGCCTTTAAGTCTTGAATAGTCAGGAATACGCTTCAATAGCCTAAGAACCCTCCGAAACCCTAAACCCTAAACCCCTATTACCTAAACCTGAAACCACCCAAACCCCTCACACCCTACACCCCAAAACCCTAAGCCCTAAAACCCTAAACCCCTAAACCCTAAACCCCTAAACCCTAAACCCCCTATGAAACCCCCCACTAGACCCCCCAAAAAAAACCTCAAGACTACGCAGCGGGATCCCGTCAGTTTGCCGGGGCACGGTCTTGTAGAGCACCTCGTACTTGTCGTGGTGGTAATTCAAGTTGATGCTGAAGAGATCCTCGGCCTTGCAGCTGGGTTTAGGGTTTAGGGTTTAGGTGGCTCTACACCGATCCGTGCCTGTAAGAAGCCTATAGTCCCCCTGAAGTAGATAGAATATGGTTTTGGGTATATTATAATAGGATCCCCATATGCCCAATGTTCTATCTACTTAAGGGGGACTCCCTCACTTCACGGGTCGCTTCGAGGAAGTTGCCTGTGTCTTTCCAGCTACAGTGCTACAGGATGTAGATGATCAGTCCATAGGTCGAACTATTGACAGTACAATAAGAATCTCAACGCTTCGCTTGGCTTCCAATAAAACAATCTCAATCTCCAAGGCGAGGAAGGCTGCAGGCTCAGTGATGGCGGAAGGGATGCTCTTCGCAGTACGCTTAAGATTCCACGTGCAAGCCTGAGAGAGGACCTGCATCACTTTGTCTCCACCCACACACAGGCGCGTGCCACGCACGGCGGTTGCTTCAGGCAGGGAGTTGCCGTTGACACGCATTGCGTGCTCAGGAGTGGCGGACATGCTCTCATCAGTCTGGAACACGAGGCCAATTTTGCGCAGCTTGTAGGCATCCTGTTTCGAGAATGCGTAGCCAAGTAAGAGGTGTGGGGGGATAGCATCTTTGAACGCTTCGAGAGCTTTCTCTCGGGCAGCCTTCAATCCCTGGCTTGCCATAGCTGTGTCTGCTGAAGAGCCTTGGATGCGCTTCATTGCAGCTTGGGTGAATTCCAGGACGGCGTCTTCCTCCAAATAAACCCTGAAAGTTTACAGTTTGGGGTTGAGGGTTTAGGGCAGAACTTAAGATCTGAACCCAGGCCCCTAGACCCTAACCTCGACCTCAAGCCTGAATCCCAAACACCAAGCTCCAACCTGTCAACGCTTACAGCTGCATCCGTTCAAAGGTTTAGGGTTGAGGCCCGAAACTGCATGCCCTTCAGTACCCATCCTTCAATGACTGCTGGCATGAAACGAGCATACCCCCTCGCTGCAAACACTGTTCCGTGCGAAGTGCAATGATTCGTAATGCTGCATGAAAGCCCTTTTGGGCACATATTTGCCAAAAATGATGCCGACGATGAGGGTGTGCTTGTTTGACCTTGCTATACTTTGTCCAGAATTACTATGCCAGCAGCGAAGGGCTAATCCCTTCCACCTCATATCAACCTCCCGCTTTGCCAGACTCCGAATATGAAAATGCGTGCCCTGCATTTACATAGGCATGTTCGAAAACAGGGCCCCCCCTTCCACATCCAACATACCTTGGTCCTTATGGTAGGATTGCAGGGACGACCCAACCCCATGTGTGTCCCCCCGAAGTTGCCGGCCGTAGCTCAATTCAACCAAGTGCTGGCCTTAGTTCCCTCTGAGCCATACACCCTATGAACCTCAAACCCTACCGTAGTAACGGTAATCTCTGAATCCAAGAGCCTAAAGCCCAAATGACCTGCAGTCAACATTTCCCTTAGCAGCTGGGTCCTTATCAGGGCACGAATTGGGGACTATACTTTATGTCACCAAACGACCCTAATGCACATAAACCCGAAATCCAAAATTCGTTTGGCGTTTTCGTTGCCATGGCAGCCTGCTCCAAAGAGGCCTTGCAGTTGGGGCGCTCACCACAGTACCTGCAAGACGACTGATTAATGCGGGGGGCCTACAATTTTCAGGGGTTTAGGGGTTTGGGTTTATAGTAGAGAGGCCTAGATAATCCATGACACTAAATATCATAATGTAGTAGTTTCCATGGTCTTTTCCATTATCCCTTTATAAACGCTATATCCAATATACAACCTATTAGAACCGCTATATAACTGGGAGCTAAGGACAAAAGCCAAAGACTGGACATTCTGGAGATCTGATCCTACACTGCACGAAGCTTTATGCCCTAAGCCCTAAACCCTGAACCAAAAACACTAAATCCTGAACTCTAAACCCTGAACCTTGATACCTAAACACTAAACCCTATATTCTATCTTCTTAAGGGGGACGTATAACCGTAAACCAGTATCGTTTAACATCCTCTATCTAGCCACCTTGTCCTGGGCAAGCTAACTTACCCAGAGGGTCCACATATACAACCATTAGGGAATTGGGACCCATTAATTCCTTCTATAGTATGGTATTCTGGGGCCTAATTCCCTAATAGTTGTATATATGGACCCTCTGGGTTACAGCTTACATTTCCTACCTACCCAGAAGGAACCATAGTTTGGAGGCTTGGGCTCAACATTTGCTTACTCTCTATGACCTATCGTCTACGTAAACTCCTAGTGGGTTTAGGGTTTGGGGATCAGGGTCTAAAGTCCTAGTATCCCCCTTCATACTTCCTATACTAGTCCCTTATATAGCCCCCTTTGAAGGAGTTTAGACGATGGGTCATGTTACCTTAGGATCCAAGGATCAAGAAACTTGTAAATTTACGACCGAAACGTACGAAGGACCTCACACGCGGACTGCTTTAGAGTCGAATGCTTGACATCAAATGCTCTCACTTCCGTACGAAACGCCCCTAACAGATGGGAATGATGTTGCTCAGGCTTCATAATTGCAACATATAACGCTTCGAGAGTCATGGTACGGCATGCGCCAAAGGAACTCGTAACTTCTCACAGGTCCCCTCATAATGCAAAACTTCATGATTTCTTCATGGCTTCCACTAGTACTGCCCCCACCCCCTTCATCAACCTTAATTTGCCCTACCTTGATTGAGCGGGAACCTAGTGCATCTGGCAAGCGGGAATAGGGGCACCCACGACGAACACTTTAAAAAGGAATAACGAGATAACACACTAAACCCTCAATCTTGCACCCCAAACAGCCTAAACTTTAAGCTGTTGACCCTAAGCCTTGAAACCTGAACCCCAAAGCCTAAACTAGACACCCCGCCAAAACATGAAAACGAACACACCACAAATTCTCAAAACGAGCTCACTTTCTCATGTGGTTTCTTTCTTCGCTTAGCTTTATCATCTCAATATAGCTGCATTCATTCTTCACTCCACTGAGTTTCAGTCACGAAGTTGAATAATGAACGCGAAGAAGGAAGAGAACCACATGAACGCATGAAATTGATGAAAAACCCAGATCAAAATCTCACGACATTAAAATTGTCCTAGATATACTTGTCATCAGCCATGAGAAAAATTAAGCCTACAAAACCATATAGAGGCTGATTTCATCCAAAGTCTATGAAACAGTCCTTTAACGGTTACTACTAGCTAAAGACCCTAAACACCCAGCCAGAAAAAATGAAACCTGATCCTTAACCCTACACCCCATAAAACACTGTGGTGGCCAGTTATTTGTTCCATTTGATTCTCCAGTATTGTGCTAAAGGTCGCTACATAACCCTGTATGAACCTTGGACTACAGTTATAGCATAATCCTTGAAGGTCGCCCCTAAACCTTTATGCGTCCCCTTTTGGCTCCCATAGACTAATTTCCGTTTGTACATCATATACTCGAAACCATTTAAGCTAAGTCCTAGCATGCCCCTTAATAACCACTATCATCTTCCCCTATATAACCCCTTTTAGTGTAGATTATAGCCCTAATCCCTAAACCCTTAGACCCCTAAACCCTAAACCCCAAATAAGCCTTAAACCCTAAACCCTTAGACCCCTAAACCCTAAACCCCTAAACCCTCAACCCCAAAAAAAAATTGAGCCACGCCGCTTAGAGTCCTTCAGCACGTATGGCAGGACTGGCTTCACCCTTAGCGCTGCGAAATGTGGAGTTTAGGGTTACCTCTTATGGGTGGGGATCTCCTCCAAAAGCTACGATAAGGATACGGGGTCTAAGGCTTAGGGGTTTCCATAAAACAGGGGGCCCCAATAGATATATATATATATGTATATATGTCTCAACATTGCAGAATTCAAAACCTGAAGCCCAAATTCGCTAAACTCTAAGTCCCAATTTCTAAGTCCTAAGCCTGAAACCCCGAATCCTTAATAAAACCTGGGTCTAAATGATAAATCTTACGTGTGATCCTCATAACATACTTAACATGTTAAGTTTCATGTTCTTTTCCGGTTTCAAAGTCCCCCTTACCCTCAGACCCACGGGGTCTTATTCGGATTGACAGCTCCGGTCAAAGACAGCAACAGGTGGATGGACTCGGGGTTTAGGGTCTAGGGTTAGAGGGAGGAATACTTGAGGGTTCAGCGGACAGAGAAGATGGGCAAGATGGGCTATAACAGGGGGTTGAAAGTCCCATAATTGGCGTTGACCTGCTCATGGCCGCATTTGGAACCTACCTACTAGGTTCCCGAAGCATCGAACCTAAACCCAAGTCTTTAACAAAAAGCAGGGGACATTGGGGACCCTCTAAAGGGTGAGGGACGTGTAGAGTTTGGAGTGTAGGGGTTACCCCTACACCCTAAACCCTGAATCCTATTCAAACAAATGTCCCTTGAGGGCGCCTCGGGATAAGCGGGAATCTTTAAGGGGATTCTGGTGCGCCTGTTTAAGGTTTAGTGTTTTAGGGCTTAGGATTTTGGAGGTTTTGGGTTGGAGTTTTTTCCTCGGACCTTTTCTCCTCCTGCCAGGCAGTCAGAGATGTGGCTCCACATGGTCCAGATTCCTTCCCACATAGTTCAGGCAGACTTATGCTTGACTTCATCCATGGAAAATGTCGAACCTCACTCCATCCGGACCTCCACTGCAGCAGTTCGCAAAACTGCCAGGCCATGCCCTTTTGTGCTACCCGCTCGTCCTGGCCAAGCGCTTACGAACCATGTTCTCCTGACCTTCAGCATGACTTCCCACCAAGGAGCTTGCACTTCCCCTGTGTTGGCCTGTCCGGTTCCTACCACCAAGTCACGATGAACCCCTGGAGGAGGTTCAAGGTTGTGCCGTCGTCGAGGCCGCCGTTACCAAGTAAGCTGACCATTCCAGTGGGGCAGCCAAAAGGCGGGGGGGGGGGTTATCCTCACCTTTTGGGGGGTCTACATACCCAAAATTCAGGGCTCGCCTACAACCCCACAATGCCCCACAAAGCTAGTTGAGGGCCCAAAAGTAAGGACCGAAGAAGCAGGTAGAACCTACGTGACAGATACTCCTTGCCCAAATTCGAGCGGGATTTCGTTTCCTGACCTATCCGACCAGGAGCGACAGGGCTATGAACATGTCGATGTGCCGGCGCACTTGAAAAGATGCGTGGGTGCTTTGCCGAAACACTACCTACATAATGACTTCATTGCTCGCATACAGTTCATACATGCCCACAGATATGTCTGTAAGCCCAACATGGCATCACTGCAGGCATGATGAGCTACTGCGAGTCGACCTCAATAATGCCAAACCCCTACGTAGACCCCGTTAAAGGGGTGATGCTCCACTATCCTCGTCAGTTGCAAGCACCGCCTTTGCGAGCACGTCCGGCTGCTCAAGTCGGAGACATTCTTGATCGGAAATTTCCAGAAGACGTCCTTCTGCTGCGCTGCCTTCAGGTGTCTCGGCTGGTCCATCAGGCCAGAGGGACACCTTGCGGAAGCTTCTTGAACAACTTCGATCCAGCCCAGGGAGACTTGCCAGCAATCTTCGCAAACTCGCCCTGCTGCTGGCGCACTCGGCGGGTATGCATCAAGCTGAAGAAATCCAAAGAGGCACGGATGTTAACTGAAAGCCAACAGATGACATTATCCATTAGTGGCGATGAGGGAGGCACCCTAAATTGTCGGGATCGCAAAAGATGTGCGGTGGGCCCTAGGCAATGCAATATATTATCATCCTATGACAATTCTGCCAGAATATCCCTCATGCGCTTCATCATATATATATATATACACACACATATATACATATATATATATATAGCGTCGCACGCCCACAGGCGCGGCTCAAGTTACATCATCTGCCACAGACGAATAGCAGCATGCAGGCATGCTGCTGTTGATGACCCGGTGGGTTCTCCAACAATGTGGGTCTCTTCTTGAGGGTGTTTACATCCAAGATCCCGACATGTTGGGCGCCTCAGGGTTCAGGGTTTAACGCTCTACTTGGAGGCTCATGCGGCCTAGGGTTTAGGGTTTGGGTGTTAGGTTTTAGGCTTAGTAACTACATAAAACTGGGCTTGCAACCCTCTTATAACCCCACTAACCTGACAAATGCAGGTTTCCCCAATTAGAAGCAAGGGTATAAGCCCAGGTACGAGTAGCTACTAAGCCCCATGAACCCTAAACCCGAAGCCCTAGGGACCCAGTGTTAAGTAATTACCAAATCCGATTCAGGTGATCCCCAGGTCATGGTCTTGCCGAGTGTCCCATCCATCAGAACGCTCACCGGAGCCTTGACAATGTGATAGTTGTCGGTCAGGGCCTGGGTGAGAGGTTTTAGGGTTTAGGGTTTCAGGGTTTAGGCCTTAAGGCTTGAGGTTTAGGATTTAATTTTAGAATTTTAGAGTTTAGGACTTAGGGCGTAGGGCTTTGGATTTAGGAAGTTGAGGCCATAGAATAAGTCCTCGCTCAATATAACTTAGGAATGATTTATCCCCAATAATGGGGAAGTAAACGGAAAACTGAATGGAAGCTGGGAGGGATGCCCTCACGAGCCACAAAACCCTAAACCCTAAACCCTACCACATTTGCAGCAGTCTCAGTCTTGAAATAGGTATGTTTGCATTTCGGGCGTACACTACTCAGGAAGAGATTGCGGAATCTCAAGCCCCGAGCCCCTCAACCCTAAATGAGGGGAAGCCCCTGCAGTATTCAACACAGGAGGGGGGGATTAAGAGAAAAAATCATGCAAGAGTGTCGTCGAAGCCTAAAAATTCAGCTACGTCATGCTGAACCCTCATAGAGTCTAGGGTTTAGCTGCTATTAAGGGCTTTTAGGGTTTGAGTTGTTTGAGGGTTTTGGATTTTGGTCTATGTTTGTTTGTTTGCTTGCTTATTGTTTTTGATGTTTTTGGGATTTGGATTTAGAGCGATTCCTAAAGCCTCAACATCTGTTGACCCCGTACCCCGCACCGCAAAGACCTACTGGGTGCTGGTTCGGAGTTTTAACTTACTTAACATTATCTGGGTATATAGTGAATGATAGGGTTCACCCTGAACTCTACACCCTCAACCCTAAACCCTAGCCCCTAAACCCTAGACCCTAAACCCTAATCCCTCAAGCCCATATAAACTTACCATTGCTTAGGGTCCCCAAGCTTCCTTAACTTAAGAATTCCAAAATCAAAATGACCCCCCCCAAGCCCTAAGTAATTGTAATAAACCCTGAAACACTAAACCCTAAACCCTAAACCCCTAAACCCTAACTTAATTCAAATTCCTTACTAGCAACCGGGCCCAGGAGTGAGCCAAGGCCCGCACGAACCAGGTAGTGGTAACCTGCTTGGCAACCTCACCTTTGGCAGGGGTTTTAGGGTTTAGGGGATTTAGGGTTTAGGGATTTGGGGTTTAGGGTTTAGGGATTTTTGGGGGTTTTGGGCGTTTAGGGCATAGCTTCATTGCTGCTTTGGCCAAAAGATTCAGGTTTGGTGTTAAGGGGCGGAGCTTAGAGTTTCAGGCGATGGGCGATTCTGAAAGTTAACCACCCCACCAAATGCGCCCTAATAAGGACGTCCCATTTGTCCTGCTCTGATCCCTAGGGGCCCCCCTTGCTGAAACTCCCATAAAGACTTGGGAGCTGACTCACGAGGGCTCAAAAGTGCTGGGGGCTCAGGGGCATAGGATTTAGACTTCTCGCGTCTAAAGTCTAGAGACTAGAGGCCTGTGGGACTTAGTAAGTAGCTTACACGTACGGTTATACGTAAGCTAACCCCAAGTAAGAGACTTCTGACCGCACCTATAGCCCACTTTCTCGGTCCGAAGAGCCTTCAAGCAGACATACAGCAACCCCGTACTCCACACAAGCACCAGTAGCGTCAGTATCCTTTGTGCTATTGAAGAATGCCTGGAACACCTGGAGAGAAACGTCTGATACCAGACCCTCTCAAAATCAGGTCTCCCTACATGACCCGTATACATCCTCTGGACCCCTAACCTATGGAAACCCTAAACCCTGCAGAACCCCTGTAATTAAAAGCTCCCCCATATCCCCTTGAAAGGGACTCCCTAATTTTTCTGGCAATTCTCAAGCCTATTACTCCCTGTGTATCCCTACCTAGCACCTTCAAAGGGACCCCTAAGTTCGGTCCCATAAAGCTGCAGAAGTGGGAGTAGTCCTTACAAACAGGACTTCTAGAATTGGGAGTTTTTGGAAGCTCCCATAATATACTAGGGTGCTTGGGGTTTAGGGTTGAGGGTGTAGGGTACTGAAGCCCTAAACCCTACACCTTAAACCAAACTCCTATTGAAATCTTCGTCCCACAAAGCCGCAGACCCTAAACCCTACTCCCTACACCCTAATCCCTAGGCCCTGAATCCCAAACCCCAAACCCTAGACCCTAAACCCTAGACCCTAAACCCTAAACCCTCAACCCTAACCCCTAGTCTAGATGCAATATCTAAGCTGCCAGGTTGTTCCATTCAAGCTGCAGAGGTGGTAGTAGGCCGGATCAGCGGCCAACTTTGTCTCCATGGTGATGTTGCCTGGGAAAGGGTTTGGGGTTTGGGATTTAGGGTTTAGGGTTTGGGATTTAAGGTTTAGGGTTAAGGATTTAGGGGTTTTGGGCTTGGGGTTCAGGGTGTAAGATTTAGGGTACGGGGTTTAAGGTTCAGGGTTCAGGGTTTATGTTTCAGGGTTTAGGCTTAGGGTTCAGGGCTTAGGGAGGGAACCACGGACGGAGGCTGGAGGGCTTCTGCGGCCCTAAACCCTCTGCCTACGCCATAAGCCAACCCGAACGAATTCAGGAAATTGATTGGCTCGATTTCTGCAATTCCAGGAAATCGCTGGCTCCGCTTCCTGGTTTACACCAAGGAAGCTTCTGAAACAGCGGTGCTCAAAGCCGGGTTTCAACGTCTGTGGTAACGTAGTTGGAAAAGCGCAAAGCATCCATGTAGCACACAACTTCAACTGGCTCTTAGTAGGGAATAAGGGAACATAATCTCGCATCTCCCTTCTTTCCTAACCTACACCCCGAGCCCCTAAACCCTAAACCCCTAAACCCCGAAACCCCTAACCTTCCCTTATTCCCTACTAAGAACCCGTCTGCGGTGATTCAAGCCTCCTCGGCATGATTTCTTGATTCTCGTCGCATTTGGGCAATTTTCTTGGTAGCTGTCAGACAAGCCTCGAAGGTCAGAGTAAAATGTCGCGAGGCTCAACTTCTGAAATCTATCAAACTGAGTTTTTTGGTGGTTGAACCAGGCAAGATCAAAGTCTTTCAATACAACACTATAGCCAACAAGGGGCTAGAATCGTACACTAGGTTCACTAGATTGATGATGAAACAAAACTACCTCATTTACAGTGCTGGTCAGCTGGTTGTTAGGATTAGGGCTAACAAAACATAATCATGTTCCAGGAAGTTCTAGCTTATGTGGGATTCTTCTGAATAGGGTTACTCCAGGCACCTGGGATATATGTCTGTCATACTCCAGTCCAGTCCAAACTTTCTATGTGAACAGAAGCTGCTGCGCTTACAGCACGCGTCCCCTTTTGATGAGTAGGGTGCCTGCCTGCCGTGCTCGCCAGTGTGGGGCAGTGGGCAACACAGCTAAGGATCCGGAATTCACTGTGTACGCTCAGCCTGAAAATCCTGAACCCTAGACCCTGATCCCTACAGATCCTTCATATATTTCTATAGATGCATATAAGTATCCTTGCATCACCCCTGTACCCGCTTTTATACCAGGGTACCTGAACCCTTGTATCCCCTCTAAGGGACCCTGTGCGGCCCAAGCGGCCATCGGGGCCCATGATGGTCTCCGTCATCTCGGTGGCCTCGTAGTAGGCGAGCGCCAAGATCTTCTTGAAGGGGTGGTGGGTGGGCACCTGAGAACTGGCCGACCTTTCAGATAGGGTTCGGGGTTTAGGGTTTGGAGTTCAGAGTTTGGAGTTTAGGGTTTAGGGCTAGGTCCTCCCCGCTTGAACCCTGCTGACCCTGATTCAGAAACCTGAAACGCGCTGCTCTTCAAACATCTGAAAATTGTAGCCCCAAGCCCCAAGAAGTTTGCATGGGCCCTAAACCCTAAACCCTTACCCCTAAACCCGTCCTAGCCCCCACATGCCCATAGGGCCCCCACCGTCTCCTTCAGGTGGCCACGGTGATCGAAGAAAGCGACACCCAGGGTCACGTCGCCGTCCTGGCGATGCTGGCTTTGAGGCTGAAGGTCATTCAGGGCTATTAGGGGTTATGTAGGGAGAATGGAAAAGAAAATGGAAACTACCATTTGGGTTTGAGGGACCCATGATATGTCTATTGCAAGTCGCGGACATGTAGGAGCTTGCTCAATCAAGCTTCGTGTCATCAATCATGAGAGCACTTCCTTACATAGGACCAGCTGCACAATAGAGATACACGTTATGTGAAAGCAGTGCCGTCCAGCGCATCGAACAGGTTCTTGCTGGAGCCGTGGCGGATGAAGGTCGGGAACTCGAAGCTCTTGTTCAGCAGAGTGTTGGCCTTGGAGCCAAATGTAGAGGTGGCCGACTAACACGTTCTTAGGAAATCTTAATGTGGGGACCCCAATATGGACTCCAAAATACTATAGTCCTAAATTATAGGGACCCCAAAAGGTACCCCTAATTTTGGAAAACATACCCCCTAGGCTCCTCTTTTATAAGCCTTAGATAAGCCGTCTGTAAGGGGAACCTACGTGGGAAGTCCCCCCCCCAAACCCTAAACCCTAAAACCCAAAAACCCTGATCTCAACCCCTAAACTACCCTAAAACCCTAAACCACTTGACCCTAAACCCCTACATCCCTAAACCACTAAATCCCTAAACCACTTGACCCTAAACCCCTAAACCTGATGCCTCCTACCCAGCAAGGCTCACACCATACCTCTAGCTGGAAAGGAATGAATAACGCAAAGAAAATTAAGGTTTTAGGGTTTAGGGTTTAGGGCTTAGGGTTTAGGGCTTAAGGTTTAGGGTTTAGGGTTTAGCGCCTTTTTGCAAAATTTTCGGAAGGTTTTGCCAGCACTGCAAGAATACACCCTAGACCTGTATTCTACCCAAACCACCTGGAACCTTAAAACCCTGCAACCTTTAACCCAGAGATTCATCCTCTAAGCCTGAACAACTCTAGAACCACCAACCCTAAACCCTCAATGAAGCTGTGAAAAGGGGATGTAGTTGATCACCCCGCTAGGAAAACCCGAATCCTGAACCCTAATCCTTAGACCCTCAACCCTAAACCCTAAAACCCTAAACCTTAAACCCTGAATCGTTCTGAGGATATCTGAGTCCCAGGCGTAGTTGCCCACCAGGCTAGTCATGGCGTTGTAGGTCATGTTGTTGCCCATAGCAGTCGACCAGCCGGAAGCATAACTGGGTTAAGGATTAGTGTGGGTGTATCTGGCAAGGCCTGTAGGACTTAGCTGCGGTCAAGGGTTGTGGGTTTATTCAGTGCGGTTTATAAACACAATTGGGCAACACGCAAAAACCTAGGACCATTACAAGGGGGAGCTGCCTTGTTGAATCCTGATGCATCCCAGCATGGAAGTTTCGCACAAGAAAGTAGGGACCCGCGAAAATCCTCTCGTGACCCCTGCATAACCCTCGAGGCCATTTTGGAAACACCCATACGTAATATAGCCTAAACCTTAATCCGTTTGTGGCAGAATTTTGTAGCGGTACAAGAACGGACAAGAGTCCGCGCCAGCGCTAAACTGTTGAGTGAACACAACGCTAAATGAGGGTAGAGGCGATGATACTTCTAGTTTTGTTTAAAAGTCGATTTGCGTTGCCTTATAAGGACCCTATTATATCATATGAATAGAATAGAATCCTAATTTGACGGGTGGGAGAAGCTAAAACACCTAAACCCTGAACCCGAATTTTTTGCATTGTCCTACAAGGGTGCACCGGGCAATGGCCGGTCACCCACAGCCCTGCGACAAGCGGCTCGGCATCGCCATCCATCGCTGCCATGGTGATCATGGCCTCCGCAGGCATAGGCTGGGTAGGTTTAGGGCTTAGGGATAAAGATGCAGACCTGGCTGTCGAGAACCCCCAAGCAGGCCCATTGAGCCCAGCACCCCATATCCGTAGCATTGCAGGGATGTCACTACCTGCAAAGCTTAGCCCCAACTCTCTAATCCTCCTAGACCGAATTGCCGGAGGATGACTCACCCTCAGTCTCTACACCCTACGTGAGGCCTGTACAACCTTAATAATTTTAGGGTGTAGGGCTTTGGGTCTTAACTCATAGCATCCCCCTTAAAATACCCAACTGTAGTCCCTGTATCACGATCCCCTATATACCCCCCTTTCAGGAGTTTAGACTATAGCTCATGCGAAAACTCTACAGCCTTCAGAGTTTAGGGTGTGGGGCTTGGCAACCTAACCCCCGACCCCTAAGCTCTAAACCCACAACCCTAAGCCCTAAAACCCAAGCCCTAAACCTTAAACCCTTGACCCTAAACCGCTAGACCTGATAGCCATCGCCGGCCAAGGCACAAATCCCACGTCGAAGGCACTCGTCTCCATCATGACACCTGCTTGGAGGTTCATTGTACTTATA